ATAAGCCAGAAGGTGAGCAGGCCTGCATCTGTGGGCCATGACCCCATAAGCCAGAAGGTGAGCAGGCCTGCATCTGTGGGCCATGACCCCATAAGGCAGAAGGTGAGCAGGCCTGCATCTTGGGCCATTGCCCCATAAGGCAGAAGTGGGAAAACCTGGCCCATTGAGGGTCGCAAGGTGGCCTGGTTCTCATGTTGCCTTCAACCTCCCTGCCACTAACTCATTGCAGGTATATTTTATGACACCTTCACATAGAATTCTACGCCTCTCAGGCCACAGCCGGTGCTGGTTTTCACCGTAGCTGAGCAGTAGTCACCGCCTTTACCCTGCTGTTATGCTGACAGTCCTGCTCACCGTGACAGGTGGCCGCCCCAGAGATCGCCATGATCAAAGCTGTGTGCCCCAGCATGGCCCTGAAGGTCATCGATCGGGCCATCCAGGTAGGAGAAGACTAGCGTACTCCTGGCCAGTGTCAGCCGGGCCAGGGTGGTTAAGGACTTGTGATCTAATGGTTACTGCATCCTTAACTCATCCTTAACTTTATACCTCTCAGTATAAAGTACTAAAACTGAGCACCATAATATTGACTATAATAGCAGCTTAATGAAACATTTCCTACAGCTGAGATGACTGTGAAATGTGATTCTGCTGTTTCATTCGTTATTTCAATTGTCCTTCCTCCAGGCCTTTGGGGCTGCAGGCCTGAGTAACGACCACCCATTGGCGCTGTTGTACAGCTGGGCCCGAGCCCTACGCCTTGCGGACGGGCCAGACGAGGTCCATCAGGCTAGCGTGGCCAAGATGGAGCTAAAGCGGCAATACTGAAGCTGACGCAGTGCCCCCACCCCCCGTTTTCTAATGATGAAACACCACAAGTGCGGCTGGTCATGTGATCAGACCCCCTCAGGTGCTTGCGGTGTGATCATTTCACAGAGACACAAAGCTGCTTACATGAATATGAATCCACCCCCAGTAGGTTGTAATCAACATGCTTTTCTTTAAAGGGTTAATTTCTTAAAACTGCAAAGTATAATGATTGAGTGAGTGTCAAAATATTACTGGAAAATGTAAGTCGTAAATCACATTAAAAAATGAACTTTGCTATGAATCAATCCATCCATCCATCCTCAAAACTCTTGGGAGATGTATTCACTGCAGCATATCTGGGGTCTCTGCTGACATCATGTAGTTTTATCTTCAGTCCATTGAAACCTTTTTGTCTGGAATTTGATGTATCAGATTACCAGATTAGGGCTGTTTTGAAGACCAAGCTTTTTGGCGTGTGGGAAAACATAGGAACATCCTATCAGCCCCCACTAACACACCCAGGTACTGTACCAGTCAAAAGTTTTTGCACGCCACAGGTTTTTACCATTTTTCCATTTATTTCATAGACTGCAGATTATTTTTTATTCTTGTTAAGTATTGGAAAGTAGAGTGAACAACTATAAATGAAAATATGTCAAAATAAGTTTCCTTTATATCATTGAAAGAGCATGTAACAGTGCATGTCTAACATCCTATTAACTGGTTGTGTGGTGATGTCATAGTCAAATTCAAGGCTGTCCTTTAACTTTAAATGCACTAGTTAACCGTTTCATCCCATGCAACAGAGCAGCATTTATGCCTGTGAAGATGCTCAGTCATCCAGGTGAAACTGTCTGGTGGTTGATTCATGGCAACTGGAGTTTTCTTGTAAGGTTGAAACGTTTCACTGCTCATCCAAGCAGCTTTTTCAGTCTGAGGTTTAGACTCAACCACCAGACAGCATGCCCCCTGTACAAAGAATGCCTTGAATTTTCTCTGCTGTTATTACTGCTAGAGGTTACATTGACGAATCAAAGATATTACATTTTCTTGCTAATAAAGGTACTCAAATGAACACTGTAAATTTGTTTGTTAGGACTGAATACTGAGGGTATTTTCAGTAAATATTACGTGAGCAACATGCAAATGTAGAAAATCTCAGTGTGTGCAAAATCTTTTGACTGGGTAGTGTATGTCAGGGAAACGTGAAAGCAACATGCCTGAAGACAGGTTAGAAAGTTCAGACCCCATCAGCCAACCAGCAGAACAGCTCTTTCAAGATGATGACTCAAACTCACCTGTCCCTTCGCAGCCCACTTTGGTCTTTGACTAAAGGAGATGATCCCACAGGACCCCAAGGTCTTTCTTTTCTTTTTTTTTACTCTGCCATAGGCTATCCCTCAAAATGTTATTTGAGTCCAGGTAATCTACCATTTTCTCTTTGATTATAGCCTCCATAACTTTACCAGTTATACAAGTTAGACTGATTGGCCTATAGTTTGACAAATTACTTCTAT